CCACCAGCAAATCACTCCACCAGTGAATGAATCACTCCGCCAGTGCTACAGCCAGTGAATGTCACTCCGTGAACGAATCCCTCTGCCAGTGGAAAGAATCCCTCCGCCAGTGAACGAATCACTCCGCCAGTGAACAATCAATCCACCAGTGAACGAATCACTCCACCAGTGAACGAATCACTCCACCAGTGAACGAATCACTCCGCCAGTGAACGAATCACTCCACCAGTGAACGAATCCCTCTGCCATGAACGAATCACTCTGCCAGTGAAACGAATCACTCCGCCAGTGAACGAATCACTCCGCCAGTGAACGAATCACTCCGCCAGTGAACAAATCACTCCGCCAGTGAACGAATCACTCCACCAGTGAACGATCCACTCGAATAACACCAGTGAATCATTCCCCCAGTAAACGAATCACTCCACCACTGAACGAATCCAGTGAAAGAATCACTCCGCCAGTAAATGAAATCACTGAGTGAAATCAGTCCGCCAGTGAACGAATCACTCTGCCAGTGAATGAATCACTCCGCAGTGAAAGAATCACTCCGAAAGAATCACTCCGCCAGTGAACGAATCACTCCACCAGTGAACAAATCACTCCGCCAGTGAACGAATCACTCCGCCAGTCACTCCGCCAGTTAACTAATCACTCCACCAGTGAACGAATCACTCCACCAGTGAACTAAATCAACTCCACCAGTGAATCACTCCACCAGTGAAAGAATCACTCCAGCCAGTGAACGAATCACTCCGCCAGTGAACGAATCACTCCACCAGTGAACGAATCACTCCACCAGTGAAAAAGAATCACTCCACCAGTGAAAGAATCACTCCCCCAGTGAAACTAATCACTCCACCACTGAAACGAATCACTCCGCCAGTGAACAAATCACTCAGCTACACTCCGCCAGTGAAAGAATCACTCCGCCAGTGAAAACGAATCACTCCGCCAGTGAAAGAATCTCCGCCAGTGAACGAATCACTCCGCCAGTGAAATAATCACTCCGCCAGTGAAAGAATCACTGTGAGAACGAATCACTCCGCCAGTGAGCCAGTGAAAGAATCACAGCCTGTGAGCAGTCACAGCCAGCCCGCCACTGATCAGCATTACTAAACAGAGATAAAGTGTGGTGCGCTGTCCTTTTAAAATAACAAACAGATGGCCTACCCTGTACATATTAAATAATAAATATACACCGTATGCTCAAACATCTATAAAGTAAACATCAGTCATCTCCCAAGTCCTTGAGTGACATTCAATCCTTCATGATAAAAACTCTTCCTTAAAGTGTCTCAGTGTCCACAAAGTAGTAATTCACACCTATAAGTGCAATGCTTGCACACCTTACAGCTCGACCTACACACTATATGGGTCAAATGCGCTGTAATTAACAGTAGTTGCAAGTCAGCCTCTGACTCTTAGTAGCTACTTCCTATGAGATTATCTGCACTGAGATCAGCCCTTGTGGCTTCCAATGTAGATGTAGCTCGAAAAGAGGAAACAATATCTCGTAGTACAACACCACATATATAAATTCAAAATTAATAACAATAAACTATATGCACTCACAATGATATCAAAAACAAAGTGCCCTGATCAAGTGCTCAGGTGTTCATATAAAGTCATTCAAAATGATACGTCCCTAATAGTGCTCAGATGTCCAACACAAATTCCCATCACCTCTGTGTGCAATAAACGCTCAACTTCATCTATGACCTACAACATGATAGGTCACAAGCGCTTTGTGTTGATCACTTTTTGCAGATCTACTTCCATCCTTTCGCAGCTACTTCAGCTGTACTGTCTCTTTAAGAGACCGGATTCTGCTATCATCAATGGGATATTAGTAACTTCAAAGAGGAAAGAGTGCTTCATAGTGCAACCCCCCATTGTCAATAAATAGCTTTTATTACGCACATTATACACTCACATGATAAAACATACTGTATAAAAGAGCAGCGTTCCAATCACCAAAATGGCTTCTCTCACCACACTCCCAGAAGTGACATCACTGGCTCCGCGTGACATGTTGCGTCACTGGTCACATGACTTTCTCGGTACCCCGGTACCACACACAAACCAGAAGTGCAATGAGAGAAGCCATTTTGGTGATTGGACCACTGCTCTTTTATATGTTTTGTAATATGAGTGTTTTATACGTAATAAAAGCTGTTTACTGATTATGCAGGGTTGCACTATGAAGTACTCTTTCACTAGATTTTACTTTATAGATTTTTGAGCATATGGTGTATATTTATTATTCAATGTGTACAGGGTAGAAAGGGACAGCGCGCCACACTGTATCACTGCTAGTAGTGTGGGAGTACACTGCATTAGTGTTTGCAGCAGTCCATGTGTTCAATCTTTTTTCCTTTTTTTACACTATTTCTATATAAGTTAGTGATTATTTATATGTTTATTTCTATTTCTGGTCTGTTTTAGCAGTGCATGAGTGTTTTATCTATTATTATTCACTGATAGGCATGCGCCCGAAATTAAAAAAGAGTCCCTCTGCTCTTCGCCTTCTTGGCCCCTCTGATGAACTGGTGGGACCCAGGAAAAATATAATTAATGTTACAGCAGGGCCGCCTGTACTGTCCTATTGGCGGCCCTGGTGCCTAGCTTGACTAGTAGTTGCACCAGCCCTGCATGCCAGACAGCTAAAAGGTTCTACTTCACCTCTTTCTATATGTAGCTTTGTTAGTACAGTTAGAGAGTCTAGGAGCTACATTGTGGGCTTTGTGGAGGAAGATAGGGATGGAGCAGGAATTAGCCTGAGCATACTCTTACTGATGCTACTGACAAGGTGGATACAATATAGATCTATTTATGTAGCAATTTAATTTATCTTTTTATTGTAATTATGCATGCAATGATTTTTTTTGTAATCGGGTATTCGTTTTTACTGATTGCTCTTGACTTGGTATAAGATGATGGCAAAATTATATTTTAAAAATGTATTCTGTGAACCATTCACATAATAATAGGCTTTCTGTGAAAGGACAAGGGGAGAGGAGGGTGGATAAATGACAATAAACAATAAACAAAGAGCAGCAATTCTGGTGGCATATAATCCATGGGAATTCACTTGTGGTTACACAGGACATTTTAATAATAGATCTGTTTTAACACGATGTCATCTTTTAACTAACATTTACTTTACAAGGTAACCATCCACTTTGCTAGGTGAACAGTCTGTGCTCTGCTAAAAGATAAAAATACTGTAACTAATATGATATGATTATCATCTTCAATCTCTCCCTCTCTACTGGTGCATTCCCTCCCCCTTAAAGCACGCGCACATCACTCCCATACTCAAAAAACCCTCCCTGGACCCCACCGACCTGAGCAAACTTAGACCCATCTCCCTGCTGCCATTTACATCCAAACTCCTCGAGCGCTTAGTCTGCGATCGCCTAAGCTCCCACCTCAATGACAACAACCTCCTTGATCCACTACAGTCTGGCTTCTGTCCCGTACACTCCACCAAAACCGCCCTACTCAAAATCACTAATGACCTGCTAACCACTAAAGCTAATGGCCATTACTCTGTCCTCCTACTCCTCGACCTCTCCGCGGCCTTCGACACAGTTGACCACCCCCTCCTCCTTAATAAACTATACTTCCTTGGCATCAGAGACTCCGCTCTCTCCTGGCTCTCCTATCTATCCCAACGCTCCTTCAGCATTACCTATAACGCTGCCACCTCCCCCTCTCTCTCCCCCACTCTGTTGTGGTCCCCCAAGGCTCTGTCCTCAGGCCCCTTCTCTTCTCCATCTACACCTCCTCCCTTGGCCAACTGATACACTCCCACGACTTCAACTACCACCTCTACGCCAATGACATGCAAATCTACCTCTCTACCCCTCAACTCACCCCTTCAGTCTCCGCCAGAATCACCTGCCTACTGAACGACATCAGACTGGATGTCACTCCACTTTCTCAAATTAAACCTTTCCAAAACAGAGCTCCTAATTTCCCCCCCAGCTCGCACCCCCCCCCCCTCTCTATCACGACCAACAACGCCACCATCAGTCCCACCCCGCAAGCCAAAGTCCTAGGTGTCACTCTAGACTCAAATCTGTCCTTCCAACCCCATGTCCAATCGCTGGCAAACTCATGCAGGCTCCACCTTCGCAACATCTCCAAAATACATCCGTTTCTAACCCCAGACACTACTAAACAACTCATTCACTCCCTTATTATCTCACGCCTGGACTACTGTAACTCCCTCCTCACCGACCTACCTCATCACAGACTATCCCCGCTTCAGTCTATCCTGAGCTCAGCAGCCAGACTCATCCACCTTACCAACCGCTCTGCATCTGCCACCCCCCTCTGTCATTCCCTCCATTGGCTTCCAATTGCCCAACGCATTAAATTCAAACTACTAACATTGACGTACAAAGCCATTCATAACACTGCCCCAAACTACCTCACCAACCTGATACCCAAATACCACCCAGAACGTACCCTTCACTCATCACAAGACCTCCTACTTTCTAGCTCCCTGGTCTCCTCCTCCCATGCCCGACTGCAGGACTTCTCCAGGACTTCCCCCATCCTCTGGAACTCACTACCCCAATCCATCAGACTGTCACCTACCCTCCTCACCTTTAGGCACACCCTGAAAACCCATCTCTTCAAGGAAGCCTACCCCACCCTCACCTAACAGCCAATCTCCTCCACTCCCTCCTTTACTCCATCCCCCTCAGCCACTTCCTCCTGTACCACTATCCCCTAGATTTTAAGCTCGAAATAGCAGGGCCCTTGAACCTCCCGTATATTGTTTTGTTACTGTATTGTCTCATGTACTGTCCCCAACTATATTGTACAGCGCTGAGCAAACTTTTTGGCGATATATAAATACTGTATAATAATAATAATCTGATTATGTTTGTTCTAAGAGACTCTGGTAAACGATTGTGATGTAAGTGGGGCACTTCAAATTTTAACAGAGACCCCTCACTGATTTATCTTAAAATTAGACTTGCCTCCATTCATGGCGTCAATTCTTATCTTCAGTTGGTTGGGTCCAGTAAGCAAGCTTTTTTATAGCATTAAAGTCAAAAAGTGTTCTGAGTAAATTGAGGTATACCTCCACTGAATCCACCACTTCAACTAGAAAACATAAGAATATTACATGCAATAAAGCAATTTATAAATACAAAATAAATAAAGCTGTACAAGTAAAAATGTCTATATGCAAAATATGGTAAGCCATAGAGGCCACATTTATTACTGCCATATTAGTGTGATTTTTGGCTGGGTGCTATTGGTTATTCAATGGACATTGCCCATTGATAAAACACCATACATTCTCATTGACTAGTTGCATATTTTTGTATTCCTTAGGGACTACTAAAATGTCAAGTGTTTTCAGACTTTCAGGCAATTCACTGAGCTGTGTGAATTAGTAACATTCCAGAGAACCCCAACTAATTACTTCTCATGGAAGTCTGTAAATAGAACTGGAAAGCCTACAGATAATGGGACTAAATGAAACATTGGTCTGCTGTGTTTTTACCCTGGTAAACGTGCTGGGAAGAACAATCAACCTACCACAGGATCCAAAAGTATTTCAAACAACTTTCTATGAAAAAGTGCTTTCCATCATTAAAACGGAGTTCCAGACATTTTTTTTCTTCCCTGAAAGACAGTGCCCACCCTCTTCACAGTTCTTTTGGCAATATATAATTTTTTTTTTCCCCCCTAAAGACCTTTTTTTTTTTTTTGTAAAGCGCTCCGCAAACTGTTATCGATATGTAAATCCTATATAATAATAATAATAATTCCTGTCTCCACTTTTGGCCCTGGCCTCCTTGGCGATTTCATCGATAGACATTCCTTAGGGCTTCAGGGATATCGGCATAATCTATCCCAGGAGTCCTAGGGAATCCTTAATAGCGAAATCTTGTGTTATTACAAAAACGGGTCGTGACACGATCACAATTCCGGGAGGAAGAGCAGACTCTCTTCAGGACACCACCAGCACTGTTTATGTAAGCTGCGATGATTGACGGTTGTCTCAGCAACGGGGTGGCAACTTCCGCCTGCACCACCATTGCTATGGCAACCATCAATACACAGAAAGCGCCACGCCTTCTTCACACTGCGCGGACGCAAGATCGGGAAGTGGATGCTGGGTGGCCAGCTGCACAATTTCCTGGAAGAATGTATGAGCGGGCTTCAGGTGTCCTCACTCAAGATGAAAGGTTTCGGAATATGAGCGTCCAGTAAGTAATTTTTTTAATAAAAGGAGCACAAAGAATTACAAGTACAGTTGATCTCAAATTCCAAGGCATAAGCTCTCATGGGGTTGCTTTAAAAAAAAAAATTAAATGGCCGAAACTCCGCTTTAAGAGTTGGTTCACACCGGTGTGACTTGGCATGCGATTTGACAGTTTCAAGTTGTGCCCTATTGCAACTTGAAACTGTGATGTTGCACTGACATGCGGACCTTCAGATGCCCTCACTCAAGATGAAAGCTTTCAGAATATGAGGGTGCAGTAAGTAATTTTTTTTAAATAAAAGGAACACAAAGGATTACAAGTACAGTTGATCTCAAATTGCATGGCATAAGCTGCCACTCTCACGGGGTTGCTTTAAAAAAAAATAAAAAAATTAAATGGCCAAAACTCCGCTTTAAGACTTGGTTCACACCAGTGACTTTACATGCGATTTGACAGTTTGAAGTCACGTCCTATTGCAACTTGAGACTGTGAAGTCGCAGTGACATGAGACTTTGAAATAGTGCAATTTCAAGTGAAGTCGCACAGTTTCAAAGACAGATCCAATGTGAACCAGGGCTAATTGAATTTGGCAATGCATGTGTGCAGTACAGCTTTATATGGAACCCATTTATTCATTTATGGTAGATTATTTATTTCAGGTACTTATATAGCGCCGTCAATTTACGCAGCGCTTTACATATATATTGTACATTCACATCAGTCCCTAACCCTCAACGGGTGCACAATCTAAGGTCCCTAACTCACATTCATATACAAGGGACAATTTTACACAGGATCCAATTAACCTACCAGCATGTCTTTGGAGTGTGGGAGGAAACTGGAGTACCCTGAGGAAACCCACGCAGGCACAGGGAGAACATGCAAAACTCCAGGCAGGAGGTGCTGTGGCTGGGATTCCAACCAATGACCCTAGTACTGCCAGGCAGAAGTGCTAACCATTTAGCCACTGTGTTGCCCAGGTGGTAGATGTGCATTATTGTAGAATATTACATTGTACATTGAATGCCCTCAGTTGGAAAATGTGATCTCACTTGTTTAACATGCCAGGAAGACAATAAACAGGTATTCAATATGTACAATAGTAAATATTAAACTTTAGCAATTTCGTAATGGTACAACCTGGGAAAAGGATGTTTGTACCTCTAAATGGCTTAAATTTATTTTCCAGGTCAAACTCCTGTCTTCCCACCCTTGAGAGGTCAACACGCAGGTCAGGACAAATAGCATACTCTTCTATAGTTTTACTGATCTGAAAAATTTTGTCTGTTACAGTATCAGGAGCAGGACCTGAAATATATAAAAGAAAGATAAATAAAAACATTTTAGCAACATAGCATAAATGTCCCTAGATGAAATCCGAACAATAAGCAGAAGTAAGATGTGATTTAAAAGGTAAGTTGTAAAGCAAGCCGACGATCCTCGCAGGATCGATCGGATCCATCCTGCGGGGATCGTCGGCTTTCTTTACAACTTACCTTTTCTTGGAACGGGTCCGGTGTCACCCCGTATAGGTTGCATACCGACAATCCTACGGGGATCATCTGCATGCAATCTACACGGGGTGACACCGAACCCGCTCAAGAAAAGGTAAGTTGTAAAGAAAGCCAACGATCCCCGCAGAATGGATCGGATCTGTGGATTGAGCATAATGGATCGTCAGAGGGGGTGTTATTAAGTGTTACCGCACCGGGTGACCCCCAACCCTAGGGTCGCCTCTGGTAAGGACTAGCATAAAGAAATAAAACCCACAAAGATATACAATATGTACAACATTTGAAGCATTAAACATCTGTTTGGAACAATAATTGCATGATTTAGTGGATTATCAACATGCTGTCAGCTACATAAAAGCTGAAAATGTATTTTACAATGCATCAATGTAAAAATAATATAGCAAAATTCTCTTCCAGGGAAATTCCTTGGCACATGTAAGTTATTATTCACAATTCAATATTCTAAGAAGCCGACCTGCATTCTGTAAGAACATTCATAGATGTACTGGACTCTAGTGGTTAGTTTTCTATGTATAATCTAGTCATTCAAAGAAATCACCAACAGATTACAAAAACAAGAAAAAGTTATTTGTTATAAGGTTGGGACATGACACTTTAAAGGCCCCTTGTATACCATTTCTGCCATAAGCACAGCAGAACATGTCAGAATAAATTCATACTTTTCAAGTATATGATGTCATCATTCCTGAGATCTATCATTTAGTAAAGACCTCTAAACTAAAATAGAATATTCAGTGTCCAGCAGGATTTCTATAGCAATCATGCTTTTATTTACTTTTCTATCCATGAAGTCCTGTGTTCCATTTGCGCTCACCACACATGTAGCACCCCTATAGTTAGACAGGGGGAGCTAGCTAAGTTTTTAGTTAGAGGCTGGATAGCAACCTGATATGAGTCGGCCTGGGATGTGTCAGCCAGGTAACTTTAGGTCAGGGCTGAGGGCTCTGCAGGTAAGTACCATGATACCTCCCCCTGCTCTAGAACCTTGAGAAGTTTCTAAAAGGCATAGGGTTGGGGAGAAGAGGGGCCCATCTGAATACTCAGGGGACTCTGACCAATCCCCAAGCAGGAGGCTTGGTGTGGGGTTAGACCAGCCCCTAAGTATGGGAGCCTGATCAGGAAGTGGCCAGTGTCGGGTGGAAGATGGTGTAAGAAGGCTGGAGTGTGCAGCCTGGGAGGGGGCCCAGGGAGGGGCCTACCTGCTGGTAGAAGCTGGAAAGGAGGATCTCTCAGCTTCAACCATCCCCTGAGAGAGGACAGACTGGGAAGCAGGGAAGAAGCCAGACCAGCATATGGCCTAAACAGCCACCAACACACAAGCTTACAGGAGAGGGCTGAGTGAATAATCCTGCACCCCCTGGGCCAGATAAGGGAAGAGGGCAGTCAGGTGGCAAACCCAACTAACTCCTTATCTTGAGCTGCTTTACTGTGCAAGCTTCTGAGTCCCCTTGCTCAGGGATTCCCTCAGGTAGCTGGGTGAAGAGGAGGATTTTCATGTGGGGTCTGAGGATGTAAACCAGAAGGGCTGGAGAGCTCTTCAGAGGAGAGATTTTTATTCTCTTTATCCACATCTGTATAGTTACTAAGGAGGTTGTCCACAAGTTTCTACAGTTCCTTGGGCATCCCGTACACCCCTCAACTCTTCGATACCCCTTAATAAAACTACAAAAAACAAGCTCAAGGATTGTTTACTGTCTCCAGTGTGCAGTGGTGGTAGAAAATGTGTGTTGCTTGGCTGTGCAGGACTATAAGGGAACCCAAAAATTCAGCAACTCCTAAGTTGCTATTAGTAAACAAGAGCAAAAGAGTAGAAGTAGGAGTTTGTTTTTTTGGCATCTATTGAGCTCATTAGCCATTCAGCTCACCAAAGTCAAGGGGCAGCCAACTTAAACTACATATAGATGCATCTCAATAAATTAGAATATCATCAAAAAGTTAATATATTTCAAACCTATCTACTTACTGTGTAATCTACTGAACCAGACTGAGAGACCATTTAAAGGCTCAGGAAACCTTTACAGGTGATTTGAGTGTATTAGCTGATTAGAGTGTAACACCACGAGTCAACAAAATTTAACTTTTTCACAATATTCTAATTTTCTGAGATACTGAATTTTGGGTTATTACTAGCAGTAAGCCCTAATCATCAAAATTAAAAGAAAGACATTATTGAAATATATCACTCTGTGTGAAATGAATCTATATAATATATGAGTTTCACTTTTTTAACTGAATTACTGAAATAAATTATCTTTTTTTATTATATTCTAATTTATTGAGATGCACCTGTATAAATCCCATACACATTACCGCACATTTGTTTTGGGATCTATGGAAACATGGAATAACCTTTTACTTTAAACACTGGCCCGATACCTATGAGTTTGCATAAATTATTTTAATAATATAAATGTATAAAGAAAAAAATGGCAAATCAGCAAGCTTCAAATGAAAAAAGCTATGGAGCTATAGGAAGAATTGTAGAAAGATAGTAAGTAAACCATGTCATCTATAGTAAACTACATCATGTCATCTATAATGACATATCCTTGAGTTCCTAATGTTCCTCTATGCATCTCTTGTTGTGGCAATAAATCACTGGTGAAAATATAACGGTAAAATGTATATTTTCTGTATATATCGGCTTTTTTCCCTGCAGTTTTGGTCCAAACAAAAGCAAAACAAAATCCCCAGGCAACTCTTGAAAATTTTACAACTCAGGAAGAAAATAAAAAACAAATTTCTCATCCCACATGAGAAGTGAGATCAATTGCCTAGCTCAAAATGTTGACATATTATTTCTCAATTTTAACTGTGGATATTAGGATACTGTTGTTGAAAATGTTCATTACCCTTATTCAAAGTGACCATGTCACAACTAATTAGATTGTTTTCACCTGCTGCGACCTGTAAAAGAATATGTTGTATGCTAACTTGCTCGACTCTGGGCAATGCTGTGCTGTAGTTCCTCCTGTTGACCCTGACATCACTACAGGCACAAGAACACATGGGGGCCACCTTGCTGGAACTACAATACTCTGGTAGGAATTAGAAATGTGCTTCCCACAGCAGCTGGGTCTGAGGCCACAAGCTGTTAGACTCATGTCTGACTGCCCACATGTTGTTTCTGACAAGGGTTTCTCACCTGGCTGCTATTCACATGCCCCGCTACATTTGCCTCCAAGAACCCAGGGAGTTAAGAGAAAAGGAGTTAAAGGGGTCTTAACCCACATCTGAGCATGGTGAAAATGGCCTCTCTGCTACAATACTCTGGTAGGAATTAGAAACACGCTTCCCACAGTAACTGGTCTGTCAGAGATATTGCATACTGTTAGGCTCCTGTCCATCTGCCCTTATGCTGATTCTGACTATGGAGGGCCTCTCACCTTGCTGCAGATAACATACCCAGCTACATCTGCCTTATCAAGTGGGTCCTCTCTGAGCTGCTGATGAAAAGAAGCAGAGAAACCTATTTTCCCAGGGTATACATAGAGGGGCATCTGCCTCTGAGGGTGGTGAGTAAATGGGCTCACTGCTACAAATCTCTAATTCCTAGAATAATATAACTATTATTGCAAAAATATTGTACTCTGGTGTCTGTGTAAAATAATACATGTAATGATCAAATTCAATATATTTATATATTTATTCCTTTTTTCATAGCCAATGTATAAAACAAAAATAACAGTGACAATAGACTGGGAAAAAAAAAGTATGTTGTTGTAACTGCTCAAACCCACCTAGCATTGTAGTTTGTCCTAACTCCCATCACTTTTGCAACAAAAAACATAATGAATATTGTGATTAAATGTTTATGACATACGGATATCAAACTACAACATTTTCTACAAAAGTAGTTATTTTATTTCAAATAGTAATTCTAATGCAATAATTAGACTGCCTACAAGTGACCTATACAAGCAATTAGACATAGGGATTGGTTTACTAAATAAAGGGCTGTTCAGTTTGCATGGGAAGTTATACTTTGCAAGGGAATTTGCTCCATAGGTTAGTGAATGATGAGAGGCTCTGCTAACATCCATCATTCAGTCATGTACAAGCAAAAATACTGTTTTTTAAATTTGAGTTGCATGTGATTGGGTTTTCTTTTTGAAGTAAAAATTCACTTAATTTACTAAGCTCTGGGAAAAATTCTCTTGCAAAATGAACAGCCTATTTGCCTTCAGTAAGCTAACCCCACAATGTAAGATGTGAATTTAATACCTCCATTGGCAACATTAAACTTGATTCCAAAGTCTCCACCAGGCCCACCAGGATTGTGGCTAGCTGTCAGAACAATTCCACCAATTGCCTTGATTTTCCGAATGATGCAGGACACAGCAGGAGTAGACAACAATCCATTCTGACCAATGACTAATCGTCCAATCTAAAGTCAACCAGAAAAAACAGAATTAGGGATAAATTGCACAGTTCTACCAGCACCACTGGAAAAAGCTAGAAGTTTTATAACCGGTAAGTCTTAACACCTTACACCTTATCTGATTACTTCTTGCAGAGTATCAGTATGTCCCATTTCCACATGCAAGCTAAATCCAAAGTTAGCTTTCTTATTTTCTAAAAACACAATAATGAATAAGGGCGTGTGTTCAAAACAAAAAAGACAATTTGTGTAAATTAACAAAGCAATTCCAACGGAACCACAACAAACTAAAAAAACATTTGTTATAGTTCAAAAATGTGCATATCCCCACACCACAGGTTAAACTGAAAGAAGAAAGCCTTTGAATGCCAATCTCCTAGGGAGTCCTCTTCGCCACTAATGCTTATACCGGTATGTGAATTGCACACTCAACAGAAAATTTTGGCTATAACGAATGTTTTTTTATGGTTTCTTGTGGTTCCGTACGATTTGCTTTGTTAATTTACACAAATGGGCTTTTTATTGTTTTGAGCAAGCACCCTTATTCTTAATTGTGTTCTTACATTAGTGGTTTACACCTATTAGGGGCAGCTACTCTTATTCTACCACTTTGGTGTTATCACTTTTGTTGGAATAGGATTTGTCCAAAAAATTAATTTGCAATAGATTTATAACATATATTGTATAGTTAAGTAGACGCTACAATATTGGTTTTTGTATATGTTTCTTATTTTTTAGATCAGGCATCACTAAATGGCAGACCGCAGACTGAACCACCATTCTATCTGGACCCGTGAACACTCCATTTAGGACCCGTGGACACACATTGCTGCTTTCCCCTTACCCCAGCAGTGGGGAGCATTTCGTGTGGGAGCTGCTGGTGTTAAGCTTTTATGTTAACCAGCAGGTGATTGGAGGCAGGGCAGTCCTAGCAGCCAATCACCAGGTGGTTAATAGAAAAAGTTAACCCTGGCAGCTTTCACCGTACTCCGTTCAATGCTGTGCTGTGCCGTGCATCCTACACTCAATACAGAAATGTTCTGCCTCCTGCTCTCTGCTCTGTTTAAGGTAGGTGAGTGAAGGAGGCAGAGGATACTACTCTGGGTATGTGTGGGGGGGGAATGATGTGAATAGGGCAGTGCTGTGTGGGATGCAGTGTTGTATGTCAAGAGGGCAGAGCACACAACTGCGTGTGTGTGATGTAAAGGGGGGGGGTGGGGCAGTGCTTTATGTAAAAGGGAGGCATTGCTGTGGTGGGGGGGTAAAATGTGAAGAGGGGGAGTGCTGTGGGGGGGGGGGGGGGGTTGATGTACAAGGGGACAATGCTGTGGGGGGGGAGATGTGAGGAGGGCAGTGCAGAGGGCAGAGCATACTATTGTGGGGGGGATGATGTGAGAGGGGGGACAGTGGTTTGGGGGGTGCGGGAGATTGCGAAGGGGGGCAGTGCTGTGGGGTGGGTGTTTGATTTGAGCAGGGCAGAGCACACTACTGTTGGGGAGGTAGCAACAGCTGCTACTGACAATTGGGTTACACTTCCCTATAAATAGACTTTTGCATCATTCCTGTTGTGGGTTATGATTAAGGGCTGAGGTTAGCGCGATACGCATGAACCTTTTTTTTCCCCACAGTACAGTATGGTGTTTTTAAGCTGATTTTCTATACAATAAAGCGGATATATGCTATAGTGCGGCCTTCCAGACTTTCTACTGTTGGGGAAGGATTTGTGATGTGAGAGGGGGGCAGAAGTGTGGGGGGAGATGTAAAGGGGGGACAGTACTGTGGGGGGGGGTTGTAAAGGCAGAGGACATTACTGTGGGGGAGGGATGTGAAGGGGGGCAAAAGAGAGTACTGTGGGTCAGGGGTGATGATTTGAAGGGGGTCTGAGGACTATTGTAAATAAATGGGGTGTGTGATGTGAAGGGGGTTCAGTACACTATTGTAAAGGGGGGGTTCGGGTGATGCGCAGGCGAGCCTGAGAACACTACTGTAAAGGGAAAAACTGATGGGAAGTTGGGGAACTGTGATGTGTGGGGGCCTGAGGACACTAATGTAAGGGATTGTGATATAGAAGGAAAGCATTGAAATAAAATGCAGTTCGGACCTCTGCTGGAAGAAAATTTTACCGGTCAGACCTCTGTGAATTTTAATTCAATACCCTTGTTCTAGGTAATGTGGGTACTTTCAAACAAATGTTTGTGAACGTTGTGGATGTACCTTCTTTACATAAAACAGCACTTGCATCTTACAGATTAATTACCCTTACATGAGGTTGACTCAAACCTGTCATTAGTGACCATAATGATGACACCAAAGGATTTTAATGAGTGGGGAAAATGTAAGAGCCAACTAGCTGGCAACTATGGAAAGTTGCATAGTTTTTTTTTGAGGAGCTACACATCTATTACCAATATTACATTTAAAGATTAATACTTTTGTATCCATGTATTCGAGCCCTACTATAAAAGGGTAGAAATTGTTCAAAGCTTCTAAAAGGAAGGATTAACCAAAATGTTAAGCTATGCTCTGCACAGAGGTTATACCAAGAGCTCTAATATCATAGCTCATTATTCATTTTTATTTTGTGCCATTATATCAAACACAAGGGGGTCTATTTATAAATGTCTCTACACAAAATGTACACACATTTAACTCAAGATTCTAATTTGTGTAGTTTTTTTAAACCATTTTTGGATCCTGGATGAAATTTGTGTGAACCTTGTGAAAAATTCTTATAAATAGACCACTAGGATTAATGGGCTAATTTAGTTGATAGTTATAACAAAAGCATATATAAGTGTATTTATCAATCTATATAAGTATAAAAGAATATCTATCAAGTATAAGTATAAAAGAATATCTATCAAAGTAAAATGTCTGTCATATGTTTAAAAAGAAAGGTAGTGGTACAAGGGCTCTGGACATGGATTGTCACAGGTTGTCAAAATGTGGACAAAGTCATTACTTGAGCTCAATTGGCCTGTACTCAGCAGCACATCACAAGAACAGGGACCGATCCCCAGGAGAGGGCATTCACCCAAGTTAAGAAATCCAAGAGTAATACGTCAAAGAGAGCTCCAGATAAAAGATATTTAGGAGTCCAAAGTTTTTATTGTTCAACTCAAAATAACTCAAAACCCAGTTCCACGCAATTGAGAAAAAAAATGAAGTCTCATCGGGTTCTTGCATCTCAACCTGGAATACTCAAAGCTGTCCCCCTTGGTAACTATTCTTTGGCACACGATGTCTGCAGTCCTCTTGGCTAAATGAAGCTCAACTAAAAGAAGTGTTGTCCTTATGCCTCACTTTTTGTAAACTGCTCTTTGCACTGTTTCTATTTTTGGAAAATCTAATAAAACCTTTTGTAAAATAAAGGAGTGTCACCATGGCGGTCTTCATTCAAGATGTAATGATGCAGAGAATGGTGCTGACATTATCATGTCAGTGTCATTCTCTGCATCATCAAGGAGTGCCCACTGCCAGGAGAAAACTGAACAAGACCCAACAGGTAACATGGCTGGCCTAAAGACTTTAGAAAAATGAAAGTATCAAAAAGAACAAAGCATAACATACTGTAAATGCTGGCTTTGGGACCTATGGGTTGAGTGGACAGTGGAAAGGGGGCCATTAGAGGGATAATGCCCTAAAGTGGATTCATAAGAGATGAGACTCTCAAGAGTCACTTTATCTGTATAGAAACATAGTTATGGTGTCTTAGTTTACTCATCTCTTGTGTACTTAAAGTGATCGTTAAGGTCTTTTTTTAATAACAAACATGTTATACTTACCTACTCTGTGCAAATGTTTTGCACAGAGCAGCCCCGATCCTTCTCTCCTGGGGTCCCTTGCTGGAGCTCCTGGTTCTACCTGCCTTTCGAGTGCCCCATAGCAAGCTGCTTGCTGTTGGGCACTTGTGCGGGTTTGATCCCAAGCCACACTGTGTGCATCTAATGACACACACACAGAGTGTGGCCTGGCCCCACCCTCCAATCCCTCCTCACTGGATTTGATTGACAGCACAGTGCCACAGTGCCAATGGCTCCCACTGCTCTCACTGAGTCCAGTAAGAAGGATGAGAGAGAGCATTGCCACTGGTCTTGTGCACAGCGCTGGATTGAGATCAGGCTCAGGTACGTATTTAGGAAGGGGGTAGGGGAGATCTGCAACTTAAAGGATTTTTACTTTAATGCAGAGAATGCATTAAGGTAAAAAAAAAACATTTATTCGTTACAACCACTTTAATAAACTGTACATAGCTATGTATGTCAAATATGCAGCCTCTAATACAAAACTGTCAAACAGACTTACAGCACCGCTTTTTAAATTGGCCTGGCTAACAGTCTAGGCAGATACAAGTAAACACATGACAAGAAGCAGCACTGTCCAGCTTCATTTATTAAGGTTCATAACAATATGAATAATGAAGAGTGAATTGGTTTTAAAAACAGGTGTACTTTATTTTTTTCTCCTTAGAATATGTACAGCCCTGGCCAAAAGTATTGAAAATGACACACATATTAATTTTCACAAAATCTGTTGCTTCAGTTCTTTTAGATATTTTTATCAAATATTACTATGGTATACTGAAGTATAATTACAAGCATTTCATAAGTGTTAAAAGCTTTTATTGACAATTACATTAAGTTTACATTAAGTTTATGCACTGAGTCAATATTTGCAATGTTGACCCTTCTTTTTCAAGACCTCTGCAATTCGCCCTGGCATACTCTCAATCAACTTCTGGGCCACATCCTGACTGATGGCAGCCCATTCTTGCATAATCAATGATTGGAGTTTGTCAGAGTTTGTGGGGTTTTTTTGTTCACCTGCCTCTTGAGGATTGACCACAAGTTCTCAATGGGATTAAGGTCTGGGGAGTTTTCTGGCCATGGACCCAAAATTTCAATGGTTTGTTCCCCAAGCGACTTAGTTATCACTTTTGTCTTATGGCAAGGTGCTCAATCATGCTGGAAAAGGCATTGTTCACCACCAAACTGTTCTTGGATGGT